CCACCCAGTTTCCTCTGAGGTTTGATTATGAGGTTAAGAAAGAATGAGACCTACCAACCGCCCACGAGCGGGCTGTTAATGGCGCCAGGGTGGGACCCAGAACCCAGGGGTGGGAGGTCAGAGTGCAGGGAGCAGCAGGTCCCTGGCTGGACCCATCCATCTGTCTCTGTAACTGGGGAGCAGGGTGGGATCAAACGTTTCTTAAGAGCACGTGCCTGTTTTGCCTGTTACTGTTGCTAAAGCTTCCTGCCCCTGCAGGACAACAGCAGCAGCGAGAGGGCGTGTGGGAAATGGTGGTGGAGCCTGGGTGGCGGGTATGCATTGTGCACCTGCACCGTGAGTGGGTCCGCCCACCCTGCGGTGCCCCTGGGTTCTCTGTGTTTGCTGGGACATGAGAAGGGTACAGTCCTCCAGCAGGTGTGCACGTTGGCGCGGGGAAGGCTCGTGTACCCGTCTGTGCCTCAGTGAATGTTACTGCACCAGTGTGGACGGGCAGCCCTTGGGAAGGAAGGGGGAGCTGAGCTGGCCCGCATGACCCGGCAGGGCTGGTGGGGAGGGGGATAGGAGCCAGAGCAGAATAACAACTCGCCCCAGAGGTGACGGTCAGGACAGTGTGAGGGCTCTCGCTCCCCCAGCCTCAGCCGGCCGTCAGGCAGGATCACAGAATTAAAGGGGGAGGAAATGATAGTGAACCGTCCACATTTTCCATCCCCTGCAGAATCCTTTCAAAATGGCACCTGGAGATGGGAAAGGAGGTTCTGGATATGCTTCACTTCTTTCCCTGACCATTGTTTAATTGCAGATGAGAGAAACAGCTCGGGGGGGGCTGGGAACGGCATGGTTATGCACTGATAAAGCCTTGCCCTCTCCCCTCACCTCCAGTTCCCACACCTGCCTTCTCCACCCTCCCCTCCTGTGGGTCCTTTCCAGCCTTCCCTTGTCCAGCTCCCTGACTCTCCACATGCTGCAGACACACAGAGAAAAGGAGAGGGTTTGAGTGGTTGTCAGAGAAACAGGCGCACAAATTCCAGATTTTAAAATGACTTACAGCCCCTAGCAATAAGCACCAGGGACACCTTGCATGGTCATCAGTCTCCTACGCCACCTACTGGCCATGGGGAGGTATTGACCTGTCTGTTGAACAGGTTCCAGAACCCCCTGCGCTGTTCTGTTCCTTCAGTGGTTGTTTGTGTACCAGGCAACCTAAGGGGGAGGTCCTCCCTTCAGTTTCACTTAAATCCCTCCCACCACCTCGGTCCACTTTCCCGCGATCAAATAGCTCAGGAGCTGCTAGTCTACTGGTGCCTTCTAGTTTTATACCAAACTTAAACCCTTCCCAAATCGAAAGCCTATTTATGACTCATCCACAAAGCAGCTGAGTAGGGCTTGCTGGCTGTAGCATTCCAGCCCTTTAATCTCAGTGGCTCTGCCCTGGCTTTGTTCCAAGTTTCCACTGTCTCTCTGGAGCCTACAGGTGACCACAAGACCCTGATCAGTATCTTTGATACTTGACTCACCACCGCCCCCCGACCCCGCCTAAGTAATAGGTCCCATGGGGTTAAGTGGCACCAAAAACCAGGGGGCGCATCAAAGTTCTAAGTCTTCTCGTCAGAGCAGCCAAAGAGCCGGTAGCCTGGGGAGGGTGTACCCTCAGGAGCCCCGCCCTGCTACCGCTAGGGAAGGGAAGGGAAGGGGAGAGGGTACGGGAATCGACATTTTGTTTCCCAAGGTCATCGTTGCTTAGCCCCAAGGCGATACTTGAACGCTTTCAGAGAAAAGTCTGAGAAACGTCAAGGTTAGTTTGCCCCGGAGTTTTTTCAAACCATTAACAGCCCCACCCTACTCCCAGGAAGGGGGAGCCCTTCTCAGAAGAAGCTACAAGTGAGGAGACTTGAGAAGAGCTGTTGACAGCACTCAGGGCTGTGAGCCAATGGGCTTCTATGTCCACCAAGACCAGAGGGAAATGCCCTGTGAAATGACACCCGGCAGATGACACCCTCTGACCAAAGGGACCAGAGGGGTCCCCCCAGAACAGGTGGCCAGAGAAGGAGGGGAGGCATACCCATCCCAGATGGCTTTAAGAGGTAGAAAAAGGACCATTGGGGTAGGTGCATGCACTTATTTCCGCTCGGACACAGGGGAGGCACTAGGTGGTCTGTTGGAAGGACGCCAGGGGCTGGGCCAGACCCCCGGAGGGGAGCAGCTTCATGGGGTTTCTCCCACTGGCCAGGCAACTGCTGCCACCTGGGTTCACAGGTGTCCCTGAGGACAGTTTGCTGGCCCTCCAGGCCAAGCCAGAGCAGGCCCTGAAGGAAACACTCATCTGTCTTCCCTGCACAGGTCAGCCCCCGGCCCCCTCTCCCACCTCCCCTCACTTCATCTGGTTCCAATCCTGATTGGGGAAGTGGGAGAGGGGTATGGCCATGCACCCCCACAATGCCCCCAGCCTTTCAGGGGCAACCATGTCCCGCTCTGTGCCCTATCCCGGTGGTCAAATGCTTTTTGAGAATTAGAGTGCTTGGTGATGCCCACAGAGGCTGAGTGAAAAGTCTCAAGTCGCTCAGGAAGACGGGCTCAGCAACCCGCCCTCGCCATGGTCGGCTTTTCCTCTCCCCACCACTTTCCCTCCACCACACACCCCCAGTGTCGGGTTTGGGCGTGAGTCACTAGATAACAGAGCCCTAGCTTCTCAGCTTGCACAGAGTCCCCCCAAACGAGCTATGCATGTCCCTGCATCCCAGCCCCATTCTAGCTCATCCCACAACCAAGAAAAGTAGGGTTAGTGCTGGCTGGTGTGTCTCAGTGGTTTGGGTGCCAGCCTGCGAACCAAGGGGTCGCCAGTTCAATTCCCAGTCAGGACACATGCCTAGGTTGTGAGCCAGGTCCCCAGTAGGGGGCACACAAGAGGCATCCACACATTGGCTTTTTTTCTCCCTCTCTTTCTCCCTTCCCCTCTCTCTAAATACAAATAAAATCCTTTAAAAATTTTTTTAAAAAAAGAAAGAAAAGAAAAGTAGGTTTACCACAAAGCACCACTCTATGAGCTAATTCCTAGAAGGCCACATTCCACAGTCCAGGCACATCACGTGTGGATGAGTCAACACAGCAGGTCCCGATAAGTGGAGTCGGAGCAGTGAGTCAGGTCACGGTGGGAAGACAGAGTGAAAGGCCAAGAGTAGAGAGTGGGGATCCTGGGGCGTGTGTGTGTGTGTGTGTGTGTGTGTGTGTGTGTGTGTGTGTGTGTGTGCGAGTGTGTGTGCGAGTGTGTGTGTGTGAATCATTGAGTGCCGTAGTCTCCATTTCCCTCCCACTGCCCCCCTCCCCAGCCTGGTGTTGAACCGGGTTCAGAGAGAGCGTGCCTCTGGCTTGGCTCCTTGCTCTCTCCCTGTCATCTTCCCCTCCCGGGGCTACATCCCTTCCTCTGCTGTGGATAAATAACCCAAATCAACACCCCACCCCACCCCCCCACCCCCACTGCAGAGCCTTGCAAACCTGTGGAGGCTTCTTCAGGGCCGGGAACTTCCCTGCCAGGGTCTTAAAGGCCGGATGCCTGTTCAAGGAAAAGTGACAAATCCAGAGCCAACAGACAAGCAGGTGCTCGGGCGCTTCCTGACACCTGCCACCCTGACCGGGTTTGGACGCCTTCCTTAACACACACCTGTAACTTCTCCTGGGCCCAGAGCGGCCGCCCCGGGGACACAAAACAGCATCTTCTCACCCAGATTCCCTCTCCCTGCGCCCCCCTTTCCCACCTGCTGCCTAAGCCTTTCCTTCTCCTTCCCACCAGAGCACCTCGCTCCCCGGTCGCCCAGCGACAGCCAAATGGGTGCAGAATAGCTTCCCCCTGCACGCCATGTGAGTTATTTGGGGTCCCCTCCAGGCCCTGTTTTCTTTCTCTGGAATTTGAAAAGAGAGCAACGAAGACAGGGCCTCCCTGCCCCGACCCAGGCACCTGGTCTCTCCATGGGCATCCTGGCCACACCCTGCCCCCTGGGCAGGGCAGGGCAGCCCAGACCTCCCCGATCTGGCTGTGCGTCCACGGGTGGGGCCACAGAGCTGAGAGGAGAAACAGCGACCCAGGAGGGTGCCTGTGGGATCAGAAGTAAATGGAAATTCTGTGGGCCGAGAAAAGGCCGGGCGGGCAGAATTAACAGATCAACAAATAAATGAACAAGGTCCTACTTCTTCAAAGGTCATAAGTCAGCTAAGTATAGACTGTCACCATGTCGCCCCTATATATAACTGTGCCAGCCCCAGCCAGCTGTCAGCCTCTCTCGCCCAGAGCTGCAGCCCGCCCAGGGCCCAGAGCACAGAGCCGGCTCTGAGCCAGAGCTGGGAGTCCGGCCTTGGGGTTCCTCATCCCCCACAGCGACCTGCCAACACCGGTCCCCTCCAAGCCCCACATCTCGGGCTTCCCAGGTCCCCTCCTCCCGTTCTTCACGATGGCTCCCCACACCCGGCTAGTTCAGACCCCCAGGGCCCTCCTGCCCACCCAGTGCCCCAAATCCAAATACTTCACAAGAGGTTAGACGGGGGGCCCCCCTGTCCACACCCTGCTGCCCTTGTTTTCCACCAACAACCAAGATCTCCAGGTTGTGTGCTTACATCAGAGCTGCACCCCCAGCCACTGCTTATCCCGCCCCAGTGAGCAAGCCCTTGACCTCGAGTCCTCCCACAGGCCACTTCGCTCCCACTTCCCCCCCACTTCCCCTTTCCTGCCCCCAGAATGTCTTCTCCCTCCTGCCAAACTTCTCTCGCTTATCAGCCTGACTTTTTCAACATCCCCCAACTCCATGAAGTCATCCTAGCTTCACTCCGCAGGACTCCGATCCTTCCAGCAACTTCCTACTACTTCTGTGAGTTTGACTCGGGCCCTGGTCCTTATTTCAGCTCCAGGAGGGCAGAGACCCCCGTCTCTGCACCCCAACCTCAGAGCCTCGGGCTCTGCACATCCGTGTCTCGGCTGCAGAGGCTGACCCTCCGCTCCCTTCTCCCCGCAGAGCGAGACTCCCAGGAGCACGAGGACCCCACCACCTCCGAGATGGCAGAGGAGACCTACTCCCCCAAGATCTTCCGGCCCAAGCACACTCGCATCTCCGAGCTGAAGGCCGAGGCCGTGAAGAAGGACCGCAGGAAGAAGCTGACCCAGTCCAAGTTTGTGGGAGGAGCGGAGAACACCGCCCACCCCCGGGTCATCTCTGCGCCTGAGATGAGACAGGAATCCGAGCAGGTGAGTCCCGAGGGTTCTCCTCTGCCTCCCTCTGCACCCACACGCCGCAGCCTCTGCCGCCACCCTGATTTGCGTCTAAATGAGCATTCGTGGCAGCGGGAGGTGCTTGGGGTAGACCTAGTGCAGGACCTGCCGCTGGCAGTGGAGAGTTTGGAGAGCCTGCAGTCGTCAGGGCCGAGGGCCTGTCTGAGCAGCAGCAGGAGCAAAGGCAGCGCTCGAGGGAGGTGCCGGCTCTCGCCGGAAGTGCCAGCAGCCGCAGCGAGCACCCCCGCCCTGGAGCTGCGTCCTCACTGGGGCAGACGCTGGACATGCTCCCACAGCAGCGATTTTCCACCTTTTTCACCTATCTCATGGCACACATAAATGAATCACTAAAATACTGTGGCATGCCAAAAAATATATAATTGTTGCCTCTCTGACCAAAAAGTGGGTATAATTTTGATTCATTCACACCAGATGGCTGTTGCCGCTTTTTTATTTGACCATCAAGGGAAAAGAGGCCGGTGCCCCTGACTGAACAGGCAGGCGTCGCGTGTTTTAGAAATTCTTGCGCACGACACTTGAACACCACTGCCCTAGAGCACCCGCAGAGCCCACCCCTGGGCGCAACTACTCAGCGTCATGGAAACGTCGGTGGGTCGTATAGAGACAGGGGGGACAGCGTGCCTCTGGACCTGGTCACAATGCACGCCTTGCACACTTTATATGCCCAGGTTGCATAACGAGGAAAAAAGAGGAAAGATCTTTGGTAGCAACTAATTGGAACAAAAGGTGGACCCCTTTTCCCGCAGACCCTTTAGTCCCCCCACCCTGGGGCCACACGTTCTGCACAGGTAGGTGGCTTCCCCCTGGATCCCGCCACGCCACTCACCCCTCCTGTCCACCCGCAGGGCCCCTGCCGCAGACACATGGAGGCTTCCCTGCAGGAGCTCAAAGCCAGCCCTCGCATGGTGCCTCGTGCCGTGTACCTGCCCAACTGTGACCGCAAAGGATTCTACAAGAGAAAGCAGGTACGCCCCTGTCCCATGCCCCCAAGTTCAAAGGAAAACCTCTACCAGGGAACCTCTAGCTCTAAATGCCTAAAATTTCTGTTATTAACAATGATGTTTCTCGAACCTCACATATCCTTACCACAATTGTGATTTTTCCCATCCCTTGCTATACTATGCCAATCCACTTAAGTTTTAATGATTTACCTTATTTACATGAATTTTGAAAGGAAAATGTATATCTCTGTGTGACAACGTGTGTTGTATGCTACTTTCTGATACACAGGAATACACACACATATATATGTCTTTAAAACAGATTTTCACCATGCACCACCTGAAGCCGTTTTGGGTCCCATTCACAGCCAGACTTCCTTCTGGGCAGCCCCACTGTGGGTTAACTGGTGGTACTTGGCTGTTAAACTGGGTCTGCGTTACCTTCAGGCACTGGTCTTCAGCCTCCCTGGGGCATCAGAATCACCCAGCAGGCTTCTTAAAACACTAATTACTTTCCCCACCCACTCCCCAGAGTGTCTGATGGGTGGGTACGGGTAGACTCTGAGAATTTTGCTTTTCTAACAAGTTCCCTCCCATGTGACCCCATGCTCCATGAGGGCATCCTCATCCAAGTTAGAGGTCAAGAGCCAGGTGGCCTTGGGTCAATGCTTGGCTCTGCCACTTACTAGCTGTGTCCTATTGCCCCGGTTATTTAATGTCTCCGTCTCCAGTTTCTCATGTCAAATGGAGAATGGTCATACTTATTATTTTCATGCAATTATGAAGAAGAATGGGTTAATCTCTGTAAAGCACTTAGAACAGTACCTACTATACTGTAAGTATTAAATAGCAGAAATGATGCCTCCTATTTATTATTATTATTGACATAAACTGCAGAAGTGATGCCTGCTATTTATTATTATTATTATTATTATTATTATTATATCATTAAATCATGAAGCTCTTCAGAGAATACCAAGTTGGAAGATCCTGCAGGGGTGGCATAAAACAGAAGTTATAGGAGGTAGCCAAGGGCAGGCTGCCTAAATTACCTTTTCCCCAGGCCCTCCCGTGCTGTGGGGACACCAGAACCCCAAGGGCTGGATACAGCCCCCTCAGCTCCCTGGGGGTGAGAGTCTGTCTTCGGGAGGGAAGACGAAGGGCCAGGCCAGAGCAGAGCCTGCTCGGGGCACGGCCATCCTCACCACCTGTCTCTCTCCCCACCACAGTGCAAGCCTTCCCGTGGCCGCAAACGTGGCATCTGCTGGTGCGTGGACAAGTACGGCATGAAGCTGCCCAGCATGGAGTATGTCGACGGGGACTTTCAGTGCCACACCTTCGACAGCAGCAACGTTGAGTGATGCGTCCCCTCCCCACCCTTCCCGCACCCCCTCCCACCCCCAGCCCCAACTCCAGCCAGTGCCTCCCTCCACCCTAGGACGCCACTCATTTCATCTCATTTAAGGGAAAAAATGCATATATCTATCTAATTGAGGAAACTGAGGACCTCGGAATCTCTAGCAAGGTCTCAACTTTGAAAATGGCAACAGCGGAGATGAAAAAAGCTAAGGAGACCCCCCCCCCTTTAAATGGTTTTCTTTTTGAAGCAAGTTGAATGAACGAGGAAAGGAAGAGAGGAAGCACAGGAGGAAGCGAAGGGAAGAGGCATGGGTGTAGGAGAGAGGGAACGATGAACAGGGTCAGGAAAAGGCAGGAGGCATGTGGGCAGGAAGGAAAGACCAGGCACCGTGGCTGGATCCACCTTCCACGAGCAGCCCCGGCCCGAGCTGGGGACACGTTGGGCACTAGAAGTTGTGGCCCAACCTGTATTTGATGGCACGCTTGGAGCTTTCGCAGTTTGCAGTTTAGATTGGTCACAAGGGGAGAAAGGACTAGACAAAAGGGTGTCATTGCCTCTCCTGTATCTATCTCCTCCTCCAGCCAGCAATGTGGGTGGCTCGAACCCTCCTTCCTCTGTCCACCCCAGTAGAGTGTTCTCTCCCCCCAAATTTATAGACACTAAATGCATTCCATTCCTCTCGAAACAAAACAAATGAACAACCGAGGGATATTAGATAGATAGGATTTCCTAAGCAGACACATAAGTGTTCAATGTGTGTGCAGATTTCCCTGTGCAAACTCTTAGGAATCAGCACAGACCCCAGCAGTGGGAGGACTCGTTCCTCCGGGGAGACTGAGACGCGCAAGGAAGCGTGCGGTCTCGGCCCCTCCACGCATTCAATTCGCACCTAGCACAGCCTCTGTGGGGGAGGATAGGCTGAAAAAAAAGTGGGCTTGTATTTATCTACAAGGCTCCATGTAGTCATATATAGGCATATAAATCTATTTTTTTCTTTTGTTCCTTCCTTCCTTCCTTCCTTTCAAAGGTTTGCATTAACTTTCTAAAGTAGTTCTTATGGGGGCATTGAGGAGCTTCCTCATTCTGGGAAAACCAAGAAAATTCACATTCTCCTAACACGACCCATAACACCAGAGTTGCCTGCCTCCCGTGAGCAGCGGCCCCCTTTGTGGGGCACAGTGTTGGACTTTTTCCTGATTTCCCACAGGCACACGTGTTCACACACACGTCCCAGCCGGGTGGCCGTGCTCTCCCAGCAGGTCCCTGCAGACCCTCCGGAAGTAACCGTCTCCGGAGCCCACACTGAGAGCCCGACAGGCCCAGGTGTGACCTAGCGCTCCCATGCAGCCTTTCCACGTCACCCGGGCAGAGCCTGTGCTTTGAACGCCTCTCTTACTCTTCACGCTGGCAAAGCAGGAGAGAGCCGGACATGAGAGGTGGTGGAGAGGGAGATAGAGGCGAACAGGTTGCAGAGCAGGGAGGCAGTAAAGGTGATTGTTCAGGCCAGAGAGATGGAGGGAGGTGACAGGGGGCTAGGGGAATGGGGGTGGACAGCCCCACTCTAGCCTTGAAGCAAAGCAAAAGAAAAGGGGACAAAGCCAAGGGCCACGTCCGTGGCTTCCCACCCGATAACCCCTCTGGGATTCGAGAAGAAGTAGAGAGGAAAATGCAGGGACAGGTTGTAACAGAGAAATGAGCTAACTCCAGGCCTTAGAGCCAGGGAAGGTGGGTCACTTAGGTGGGCTCTAGACTCAGCAGCTAGCCCAGAGAGAGGATCCACGGAGACTGGCCATGTTTTGAAGGGACGAGACTTTGTGCTCAGACGCCCGTCTTCCCCCTGCAGTGAGGGGCTGAGGTCAGAGAGTCTTCTAAGCTCTTCCTGAGTGAACTCTGGCCAGTTCAGGCTCCCTCCCTGGGGTGGGGGATGGAAGAAAGGCCCAGGCCAACCAGGAAACGGATGCTCGGAAGTGCTGTCCTTTGGCAGCCACACTTTGACCCCAGGAGACTCCCATTCTCCACTGACTTTCCTCGACAAATGGGTGGCTTTGGGGCTGCCCCCTGAGGCTGGAGATGGCCCGCCAGGAAAGGGGGTTTGGACACTGGCAAGGAGACCCTTTCTCACTGTGAACCCAGCTCTCTCTACGCTCTCTCGACGGCACGGCACCGTGGAGACCCCTCCAACACTGAACTGGGGGCAATGAAGAGGGGCAACGAAGAAGCAGATCTCTTCCAGCTAGCAGAAAATTTGCAGCTGCGGAACTTGGGGGATGGCTTCTGCTCCCCGAGACAGGACGGTTGGCTGGGGATGGGAGAGGTGGTGGATTTTCACAGGACAAAGGGCCTGATGGGAATGGAATGGCAACCGCAAGGACTCACTGGACCTGCCCCGTCTCTCTGTGCAATAGCCCCCAGCCCCCAGCCCCCATTCAACGCCATAGGCCAGTATCGTGAACCTTCCCCGCTTGCCCCTTTCTGCCCACGCTCCCTTTGGATCTTGAGCAGCCATCTAACTGGGACCTGCCAGGTGGATACTGGGGTACCATTCCCCCTAAGAAAAGACTGAGCCAGGCACTGCATACCCCACCCCTACCCCTCCCCAGGCTTGGACCTGGCTCCTGAGAGGGGTTCTCTCCACGCCCCGCCGATGTTTACTGGACTTTGAATGGGCCTCTGCCCCTTACACTGACTCTTTGCTGTCAGCCACGAGACGGGGGCCAGGGCCTGTAACTCCACCAGTCTCTTCAGATTCCCAGAGTTCGTGGCAACTAATGCATACCTGTGAGTCTCCAGTGCTTGCAGGGGGTGATTCTGGTCACCTGGCCACTCCCTAGAGGACACTGGACCTTCATGACAGGTGGAACTAAACCTCTCCAAGGGGAGGTCTGGCCTGAACCCAGAGTGGAGAGACCATGGGGAGAGAGTCGCGGGGGGCAACGGGGCCCAGGCCCTGGGCAGGGGTGGGGTGCTGTTGGCAGCGAAGTCCCGGCCAGCTTCTCCTGGCCCCCAGGCTTCCCGCTGGCCACCGACTGCTCACCTGGAGGCCTCAGGCTCCCACCGTTCCGTGGCCTCCAGTCTCAGTGTTGCAGCCCTCGACAGGAGGTCTCTCCTCATCTCCCTTTTGACTCGCGCCTCACTCCAGCTGTGTGGCCCACGACCGCTGCCCAGTGACGGAGGCAGGCCCAGCCAGGACCGATCCCACTCCTCCCCCCAGGAGCTGCCCTGCCCGCCCCGGCAAGGGAGGGTGTTTGGGGAGGAAGAGAATCCAGACTTTCTCAGACAGCCAGGCCTGGACAGGCAGGCCTGGAGACATCCAACCCTCACAGCGGGAAGGAAGGGAGGCCTGGGAGGCCCTACAGGGTCCCCCCTCCTCCCCTCGCCCATTTTCCCATTACTACCTTGGTGGTCTCCACGGTAACCCCTGCAGGGTCAGCCTCCTCTAAGGTCTGCGGGAGGCGGGCCTCAACCTCCCTTCTCTCGCAGCCACAGGGCTGCCATGGCAACTGCCCAGCCCCCTAGGAGTGGGCACTGTTCTCCCTCTCCATCTGCTCAGCTGCCCAGAGGGCTCCAGCCCAGAGTGGGAACGTCAGAGAGGAGCAGGCCCAGGAGAAGCAACAGCCCTCTGGCCTCAGCGAGGACCCTGGGCTTCCGAGAGAGAGGAGGCTAAGCTTCAGGGCTTGGTGGGACGAGGGGTGGGGCCCGACCTGCCAGCAGCCCGGGCGTCGTGCTGTCTGTTTTTGAAACCACTGAAGCGCAAGGCGTGTCTTGCACTTTTCTCCGCTTTTTCTTTCTCTTCGGTTTTTGTGTCTTTTTTTAAACATACTTTCTTGGTTTTCTAATGGAGTATATAGTTTAGCCATCTCCACAGACTCTGGCCTCCTCTCCTTAACTCCTTCCGGAGGGGAAAGGGAGGTGGGAGGGCCACCTCCCTGCCTGCGCCCACCCTCCCCCCCCAGGTCTCTGGTCCCCGGACGCCAGCCTGAGTCTCACCTCCCGCCGCCGCCACCGCCGCCGTCACACAGTAGCCCACATGGATAGACAGTTGTCAGACAAGATCCTTCAGATTCCGAGTTGCCTACCGGTTTGTGTTTTTGGTTTTTTTTCTTTTTAAGACAGCAATAACCACAGCACATATTACTGTAGTTCTTGATAGTTTTGCATACATACATACATACATACATACCTACATACCATAGCTCTATTTTCTCCTCTTTTTTGTTTTCAACTTTTTTAAAGAAAATAAATGCTCATAATCTTTACTGGTAAAAAAGGATGGATAAGCAAACCAGCAAACAAAACCAGTTTGTGGTAAAAAAAAAAAATGCGGGGGGAAAAAAATCACCCGAATGCGGAAGAACTCGCCTCCTGTTTAGCATTTTGTACCTACAGAAATAAAAACGAGAAAAAAAATACAGAGGATCTCACGTTTTATTAAAAAGGTGAAGATTTCTGTATACTATTTATTCAACGTATAATTTATGTTACTCCTTGATCTTTGTCTTGTGTCATGACAAAGCCTTTATTTAATAAAGTTATGCGTTCAGTTAGCCTGCGTCAGCTTCCTCCTGGACCCAGGACCCTCCTCAGGCCACGCTCCAGAGGGAAGGACAAAGGTCAAGGTGGAGGCTGGGCCCAGGGGACCCCCCAAACCTGCCCTCCCATCCAGAACTTGGGTGCCCCCTTCTCCATCCCTTCAGAACTGTCAGTGAGCTCATGTACACCGTGTGCTTAGAACAGCGAGTAGTCAATGCATGTTCAGCTACTGTTATTACTGTTATATTCTTATCATTTAACCTCAGCCCCTGCTATTAAATAAAGTGGCCTTAATCTACCCTTAAGCAAATGATGGCTCTCTTCTCTTTGGAGAGGATTTTATGGAAGACACTTCTAGAATGTTCCTCAGTCACTGCTGGGAACCTCTGGCCAGGGCAAACTACCTCCTGCAAACTACCCAGCCCCTCTGCTGTGTCTGCCCAGTGAGGATGGAAGTGATGAAACAGCTGGTGACTCTGGGTTTAAGCTTTCAGGGGCTTAAAGAGCCCGGTTCCCACATTGTCCTTTCTGCCTCAGTCACTCCGCTGCAGTGCATCCTCAGCCTCTTCTCTCGGGCTCTTCTCCCAATCCCCGTGTCCCCGCTTCCTTTGGGGGGCCCACAGCAGCACACTGTCCTTTATGCGTCCTTGTGAGCGTACCTTATGAGGTCCCCCCAGCCCGTGGGCACAGCCGGGAGGCAGAGCTGGCGGCATCTCCTCTCCGCCCGGCCCCCTGCGGGTCATTGGACTAGTTGGGAAAGCCCCCGCCTGGCCAGGGGCTTGGCCAGTCATCGGGCACACTCCTTCCGAAGGGTCCCTGGGTCACTGAAACTTCCCTGAGACCTCTCCCCTGTCTGTGCACAGCGCTGCAAACGTGCAATCTTACGCAGCGAAGACAACAGTGGAGGATGTGAAAGCATTGCCAGGAGGCGCAGAGGGGCTGGGTGCCTTGCCCACCTCCTTTTGCAGGGGTGGGGGCGCCGAGGGGACAAGAAGAGTGCCGTGCCATGCAGGAAGGCCTTGTTGGGCCACGTCAGCCCACAGGACACCGCCTGCCCTGGGACCGTCTGCTGGCCTCTCCACCCGCGGCGGCTCACCCACCCTGTGTCACGCACACTCCGCCTGAAGGGGGTGTGAGCAGGACTCTCTTCACCTGCTGCTCCTCCTTCAGGGCTCCTCCGCCCCCACCCCACCGTGTTCCTGTGCCCCCCGAGCCTCCCCCCACACCCACATCCCTCACCTAAACACTCAGGATTCTGGCTCGCAGCTGCCCCACCCTTTTGTCCCACCCCTACCCTGGAACCCACAGAGCACCTTAGTGATCACGCATTCACTGCGGTCTCTGGGGTCCAGTAAGACGGGCTGGAGTTTCGTGTCACTTTTAGGACACTTTCAGAAACACTGTTCTATTCCACTCGCCAGCTCGACCGAGTCTCTCTGTGTCCATCAAAGCCACACTCTGAGCCCTAGGACCCAACGTTCCCACGGGGACAATCGGAAAAGCCCACTCTCCTGTTCCACTCACAGTTACTATCACAGCGACCGGAACAGAGTGATGGGGCAGCAACATCGGCATTTTACGGAAGGGACAATGGAGTCTTTGGTCTCGCCATGCCGAGTTTTGATCCATCAACCCTCTCTGGCTCTGCTTCCTTCCCCGAGACCGGGCCCATGGCCCCACTGACAGCTGCCACATGTCTGGGTCTCCCATGCCCTGGGTACACCTCACCAGCCAACCTTGTGGCCCCTGCACAGCCCTGTGGAGTCCTGATGAGAAAGTCGTCCCACCGTCCTGTGAGCAGACACCACCCCAGCACCCGAGCCTCAACATCCGCCTGGGGAACCCACCTGGGACCCCTACCTGCACTGTCTCCCTCCCATGCTCCCCTCAGGTCTACAGCACACCCACATGCTTCTCCCCACACTGCCTTCCCCCGTCAGAGAAAACCAAGAGCTGCCTGTGAGACCCCCCTCATCCTCCCCTCCCAGATCCCCCAGAGTTAGCTGCAAAACCGCCATCACGTCCCCTTCCCTCCCCAGCCAGCCCCCCTGTTTCCAAGGACAGCTCCCTTCCTTTGCTCCCCCCACCTGCTGCTCCCCCACCTCCTCCGTCAGCCAGCCATCTCCTCTCTCACTCTGCAGGTGGCAAAGGAGAGGGAGAGAAGGGGGAGGCTATGAACAATGTCCCGGAGGTGGAGCCAATGGGACTCTCCCGGCGGCTGGGTGTCGGGATCAGGATGAGCAGGAAGTCAGGATGTCTTCTCCACCCAAAACCCAGGCAACCCACACCCAGCAGGCCCGACCTGGGCTCATCCCTTAAGCTCAGGTACTTTGCCTGTCTTATCATTATATCTTACCCTTAGGAGTGCAAGTTCAACAACAAAGAGAAATTTGAGCTCTTCCTTCCCCTAAACCATCCCCACTCCATCTCCCTTCTCCTCCTCCTCCTCCTCCAACCCCGGTCTTCATCTTCCTCCTCTATTTGCTGTCCCAGGGAAAGGTGCCACCAACCATGCAGTCACCACAGCCTGACCCTCAGCCACCATTCTTTCTAAAAACATTTTTAGTTTTCCTTTGTTGATTTTAGAGAGAAAGAGGAAGAAAAGGGGGGAGAGAGAGAGAGGCAACCATCGATTAACTGATATGTGCGTTCATTGGTTGATTCTTGTATGTGCCCTGATGGGGACCGAACCCACAGCCTTGGTGTAGCAGAATGACGCTCTAACCATCTGAGACCCAGCCAGGGCTGTCCCAGACATTATTCTTGCCTCCATTTACCCCCTACGTCCAGTGAGTCCCAGGAATAAGCTGCCTCACTGACACCTCTGGAACGTGACCCTTCTCTCCACCTCCCCCGCCTGGTCGGACCACAGTCACTCCTCACCTGGACCACAGCAATTTCCTCCTGCCCGGACCTTCTGTCCCTTCCCTTTCTGCATCTTAGCTTCCAGCCTAGACATCTCAGTTGGAGCTCACTTTCTTTTCTTTCCTTTTCTTTTCTTTTTCAGTTAGCAATAATTGTGCTTTGGGGAAACGTCAGTCGCAAAAGTACTGCCAAAGCTGGAGTTCACTGTCTAAACCAGATCCCATCATGCCCATCCTCAGCCTCAACTCCTTCCTTGGCTCTTGAGAACTTTCGAGCCAAATTTGAAGCCACTCAGGTAGACATCCAATGTCCTTCCTGGTGAGCTTTCCGCTGGCCCCCTCTCTAGCTCCTCCTCTACGTGCACCCTCCCTTCACCACAGGCTCATGGTGGTCGTGTTCATGGCATAGCTCATGCTCTTCCCTCTGCCTAAGCTCCCCCCCACACACACACGCCCACTCGCGCTCGTGCACACATACACATACATACACACACACACCTCCTTTCCCTGAATTCCTACTTCCTCCTTACAACTCTGTCTTTGCACCCCTCTGAGGCACAGCTAGTCTTCCTACTTGCACCTGGGCACACCTCCATTACACCTGTGGTCAATGTGGAGTTACACAAGAGTCCAAGTTCTGTTCCAAGAACACCTCCCCTCCAAGCCGATGCTCTCAACTACCACATCATACGTAGCTAATTTTCAAGATACATCAGACAAATGTGGTCACAACAGGAAAGAGTCCCTGCATTCAGAGAGCACCAGCCCAGGGCCAGCTTCCTGGGCACACAACCTGTGCAGTCACCCAGGGCCTGTGCTTTACTTAATGCTCTGCTGTTGCTGTCTTCAAATTCATGACACTTTCTGAATGAGGGACTCTGGATTTTCAGTGTACCCTGAATCCTGCAAATGAGGTCACCTAGAAGTCAGGTGAGTCTACAAATTAGAATCACCCAGGAAGCAGATTTTAACGCATATTTCCCAGTCCCTCCCTAAGGTGCTAGCCCTGGTATAGGTCCTATAATTCCCCAAGTTTAACAAGCGTTCCCAGCTGACTCATTCTGGACCCCTGGGACCACATCTTAAGCAAAATAGACTGAGGCCACGGAAGCTCAGCTGCAGTTTCCTGTGGTGCCACACAGGGGCAGTATAACCCCAGTATGTCAACTGCCAGGTTTTAAACTTTTAGAAGGTAGGTAGTTCGAGAAGGCGAGCAATAGGCTTGACATCTCCAAGATCCCTGCCCAGTCAACCATCTTGCTACATGGGGGCGATTATGCTTTCCCTCAGCAAAGGCTTCTAGTCATTCACACATCAGTGTGACTCCTGTAGCTAGAGCCGCCGCGGCGATGCTGCTCACCCACCCATAAAATCCCTTTCTGCCCAGGGTTCAGAGCATCTACCTGGAGACCCGGCAAGTGACACAGAACTGGGCAGGCAGAGCGCGGCATCCTCAGGAGCATTCTACAAAAGTGTTCCAGAAATGGCCCGAGCAAGCGGGCAACCACGGGGTGTAGGGGCTGGCGGGAGGGCTGACCCCAGCGATAACCCCGTGACAATCCCTTCCATTTTATACAGCCCTCCAGTGTGCACAGCACGTTCACATCCACCACCTCACATTGATACCACCCTGTTATTTGAGGCTGAAATCATCCCCATTGGACAGATGAAGGAAACTGAGGCTCAGAGAAGGTAGGTGACAGAGCTGCAGAGTACTGGCATAAAAAGTGACAGAGACTGGATTCAAATCCAGGCATCCTGACTCCAGTGTTCTTCTTGCCTCCCCTCTGGCTCTGCATTAAAATCACCTGGGAAAACTTTAAAAAAATAAAACCCCCTTCTGGGCTCCACTCCAGACCAATCAGGTGAGAATATTTAAATGTGAGGCTAGGGCGTACTTTTTTCTTTTCTTTTTTTTTTTTTTTCAGTGCCCTCGGTTATTCACTCGAATGTCAGTCAAGGCTGAGCCCTGCACTTCCCCGGAGAGCCAGCAGGGGCCGCCCCACCCCAGGACAGCAGCTGACTACAGCTAAGCGGACAGGAGAGGGGCGCAGAGCACCCCGCAGTGGAGAAAAGAAAATCAGACCCGGAGATCCAAGCCGGGGGCCCAGAGCACTGCAGCCTCTCCATTCATCTCACAGGGGTGGTTT